ACTGAATGATAACTGTTGATGGGGTGTGGTGATGGGCCAGCAACTCGGTGGTAAAAGGATTTACTGAGTCAGAAGTGAGGGTACCGAGTGAGATTTATTGAGTACACTGCAAGGGAGCAGCAGGAGAGACCCAGAAGTGTCTGCCTCCGGTGTGGGAGAGAAACTGGGCTTCTTTTATGGTCCATTCTGGTCACCCTTGGGTTAATGTTCCACCCGTATGGTGGTTAGGGCTGGGTGTGTCATTGCTCAATCTTCCTGGACCACTAACTGCTCGTGACTGCTGGTGACTTTTCCTTGGGGGAGGGTATGACTGTCTTATCTGGAAATGACTTCCCGAGCCTAAGATGACTGTTTTATTGTTAAGTTCCACAATAACCTCTGGACTGAGAAGGAAGTTTGAGACCCAAAAAATGAAGCAGGCAACTCCGTAGTGAGCAATTATGGAATGTGTTGTGGGTAATTTGCCTACAGGAAGGATCAGGCAGGCGACCACCAGAGGCATTAGCAGCAATACTCAGCGTTGCTGAAAGAGGTAAGGAGGGTTCACACTGAATTGGTTGATTGAACCCAGGACACTTTGTCTCAAAAGGTGTAAATACTAAAGAAAAGGTGCAAACACAAACCATACCATCAACTGGAACATCTCTTAAGCTGTGCGCTGCACTTCACTAAGGGAGTGGTGAGAGCGCTCTCTGCAGGCTGTTCAGCCCTTTCTGGCAGGGCAGCTGCTTCACGGAGTTGGCCCACCCCTGGAATCCCACTGAGGCTTGATATTGGATGTAATATTAATGATAGCACTTTGTTAAGCCTGTCCTATTTTATTAGTAAGATAAGTCAGTACTCATGTGAGGATGGGCAGCTCGGGTCTTAAGGTCACACACAGGGCTTTGGTACTCAGGAGCTGTTTTCCTTAAGGCCAATAGCCAGCTAGGAGTTGCCATTTGAAGGTGGTGTTTCTGCCTTTGGTATTGATATGTCCCAAACTCAAGGGGCCCATGTATCCAAATAGCAGTCTCTTGTTGCTGTAGGCTCCAGTTATCACAGTGAGTCTCTACGATACATAGCTCCCGAGTTGGCAAGCATCATTGGTCCCAATGACGGCCCATGCCAACGCATCTAGCACAACCTCCAGAGCCTGCACAACCTTTAGGAGCCCCATTCATAGATGGCTCTTACAGGTAACCTTGATATAAAGGACACTTGATACCCGTTGTCTCCGATAGCCAAACAGGCCTAACAGTTAGCTTCTTTCTTGTTGGTGGAAGCTGCCGAGGACAGTGGCTTTTTGTTGACTTTATCAGGGATACTCCTCTGATGACTTGCCCAGGGGGCTCATAGAAACTGCACTTTTGAGCAGGCCACATCTCATCAGGGTTGTCAACCCTTCTGGCATGTCGTAAGATTTATGACGTCCTGTAGAGACTGGTAAAGGCCAGCCTGTTGGTCAGGTCAGTAATGAGGATGTCAACCCAGTGGATGAAAAGTAATTCTTGAGAGGGCCCGCTGGACTCCCAACCACTCTAGCAAATTAAACCCCAAAGGGGGTTGTTGGAACCTCTGATCTACAGCTGGTTGGTCAATAGAGCAGGTGATAACCTGGGCTTGGAAATACTGTCTAACATTGGTATGTGTGTGTATCTCGTGAGACCAATCCCTTAACCTGTGCAGTTTGACACTGTCTCCACAGTGTCAGAACTGAGGTAAATTGTGGGACATCCAGCTGGTGTTGCACAGAATTAGTGTGGGGGAAATCACCCACATTTGGTGACCCCAAATGTCAGAAGGGAAATGTTCTGTGAAAATGTTCTGTGTTGCTAGAGTGGTTCACAGAACTCGGGTAAACAGTTTTACTTTTATTTACTGTTTTTTTTATAAAAGGGTATGAGGATGGATACATAGAGTAAGATCTGAGAGGGTCCTGAGCACACAGAAACGTTCTGTGTCTTAAAGAAGACACAGAAGAGAAACGCAGGAGGGAAGGACTGTGGGTTTTTAATCGACATCCAATGTCTACCCTATGAACACCCAGAATTGTATTTGAGAAGCATATAACCTGTCTGGTTTTACAGGTTCACAGCTGGAGGAATTGCCTCAGCTTGAGTTTGACCCATATCTGACTTAGATAATGTTTAGATGAGACTTTGGACTTCAGACTTTAAAGCTAATGCTGAATTAAGACTTTGGGGCTGCTCAGGATGGAATTAATTTATCTTGCAGATGAAAAGGACCTGAATTTCGGGAAGCCAGAGGCAGAATGTATGGACTGAATGTCTGTGTTTTTGAAATTCATGTGTCAAAGCCCTAATCACCATAATCCACCTAAAGGTGATTCTATGTAGAGTTGGGCTTTGGGGAAGTAACTCAATTAGTTTATGTGGGTAGAGCACTCATGATGGAGTTAATGTTCTTATTGGAAGAGGAAAGGACTTCACTGATGGTCCAGTGGCTAAGACTCTATGCTCCCAATGCAGAGGGCCCAGGTTCCATCCTGGGTCAGGGAACTGTATCTCACATGCTGCAACTAAAGATCCTGAACACTGCAACAAAGATCAAAGATCCCATATGCTGCAACTAAGACCCACGAAAGCCAAATAAATAAAAACAAATACGGCAAAGAAAAAAAGAAGAAGAAGAAGAGGAAGAGACAGCTGCTCTCTTTCTCTGCAACATGAGGATATAGCAAGAAAGGAGCTGGCTGCAGCCAGGACTCAAAAGGATTTGTACCGGAACCGGACCGTGCTGGCAACTTGATCTTGGATTTCCCAGCCTCTGAGGAATGTTTGTTAAGCCACCACTCTATGGCATTGTATTAAGTAATTCCAACTACGACAGCTGCTAAAGGTATGTCCCTCCTAATACCCTTCCTCCCAAAAAGGGATCAGGCCCAGTTATCTTTACTCTTCAAAGAATATCTCCCTTATTATGCCAACTCTTCCAGGTAATAAAAGAGAAACAAAACTCCCAAATTAATTTTGCTAAGCAAATTGAATCTAGTTCTGTACTTCAAAAATAAGATACAATCACCAGGAGAAAACAGATTTTATTCCAGGAACGCAAGACAATTTCAATTATTTGGAAACCCGCCAACAAAATCGATACAAAAAGAGTAAAGGATAAGACCTATGAAATTTTACCAACAGATAAAGTTTTTGATAGAACTTAGCATCCATTCCTAATAACTTAAGTATGATAACTTCCTACAGTATGTGTACTCTACATGTCAAGTACTGTTTCAAGTGCCTTACACTTATAAATGAATTTTATCCTCAAGGCCCTATGAGGTAGCTCCATTTGACACATGGAAGACAAAAGGAAGAGCACTCATAGTGGAGTTTATAGTAGAAGGGACTTCCCTGGTGGTCCAGTGGCTGGCCCAAGATTACAGACCTAAGGAAAGTGATGTAGACAGGATTTCAACCTAGGTTTCCAGGCAAAAAATCTGTGCTCTTTACCACTGTAACATATTGCTGCGTCTAAAAATAGGAATAGAACAAAACTTCCTTAACACAGTATTTATCAGAAACAATGAGGGTGAGCCACATATACAACTGTGACATGCTGGAAAAAAAAAAAAAACCTTTCTGAAAATTAGGAACAAGACATGGAATATTATGCCTTTTATTCACTGTTCAACTTTTTTTTTTTTTAATATTTGTGCTGATGTTCGACATAAGTGGCATACAGATTAGAAATTAAGAGAACACTAATCGTTACTGTTTTATTGTATACCTAGAAAAGCTAGGAAATGAAACTAAAAAATTCTTCAAACCAAAATTAATTAAACGAGGTAACTGGATCCAAGTAAAAATTTTTTTTTAATCAGTTAACTTTTAAAATACTAGCAATAGCCAATAGAAATTGAGATGTAGCTTTCAAATGTAGCTCCTATTCCTCCAACCAAGAGCCTGAGTGCTTTCCTAGGAAGTGAGGACATTCATTTCTATTGAGAACCTACTGGTGCTGCTGGTGATCAGCTCAGAGAGTTATGAGCAGTGCTGAATCTGTCCTCGCAGAGACTCAGTGTGGTAGGGTATGAGCAGAACCAGAAGATAATAAATTAAAACATTCAACAGACAAGAGTTTCTACTTAAGATATGACCAGCCACATTCAAATTAGAGTTGAGGGCTGGACCTGTGTGTTCATATGAGGTCTCCCCTGGAACCTGGGAGTTTCCAAAGTAAAACACTTAAAAAAAAGAAAGTTCTGGATCTTAAAGGTTCAAGGGACACAGACTAGCAAACAGGAAGAAAAGCTTTTCTTCGTAGAGAACACAAGTGGTGAGGGTCTAGATTAAAGCAAGCTTTAAAAGGGCCACACTCAAGAGGTAGGAAGAATGACTCAGTCTTAGAGGATCACTTATATAAATGGTAAAATGGAGGAGGTGGAATAGAATAAGGAAATATCTCTATCCTTGAGAATGTGACTGTGGCATGCATAACTGAGTCAGATGTTAATTATTTTAAGAAGTGAAAGGGAATTCCCTGCCGGTCCAGTGGTTCAAGCAGTCCAGGACTTCATGCCTTCATTTCTGAGGGCACAGGTTCTATCCCTGGTTGGGGAACCAAGATCCTGCAAGCTGCCTGATGAGGCCAAAAAAAGAAAAAGAAAAAGGAAACCTATAAGCACATGAAACATGCAGTCCTTATTTCCCCAAGAGGAGGTGGAGGATTGCACTGTAACTCTAACTCTCCCACCTTTGTGACCAGCAGCGAGCATTTGGAGATGGTCCATATTTTTTTTTCTAATTTTTTTTCTTTATGGTAGCCACGCTGTGTGACATGTGCAATCTTCATTCCCAAACCAGGAATCAAAATTCATACTCCCCATTTTGGGAGCTCAGAGCATTAACCACTGGACCACCAGGGAAGTCCTGGGATGGTACACATGGAACAGGTGGTTCCAAGTAGAGATCAGGATGATCATATTTATATAGAAACCTTAACCTAAAGTTTCTTGCTGTCTTAGAGAATCATGTCTTAAGAAACAGACCGAGCCAGACCTGAGTGCTTCTCTCCAGTGTGAGTTCGCTGGTGGTGATTCAAAGTAGAACGCTGACTAAAGGCTTTCCCACACTTGATACATTCATAGGGTTTCTCTCCAGTATGAACTCTTTGGTGCACGGTGCGTTGTGAGCTATCACGAAAGGCTTTCTCACAATCTTTGCATTTATAGGGCTTCTCCCCAGTATGGGTTCTCTGATGTACCATAAGGCTAGAATTATGAGTGAAGACCTTTCCACATTCATTACACTCATAAGGTTTCTCACCAGTGTGAATTCGCTGATGAATAATGAGGTACGAGTTTTGATTGAAGGATTTTCCACAATCATTGCATTTATAGGGCTTTTCACCAGTGTGAAGTCGCTGATGTCGAGTGAGACATTTACTCAGACTGAATGCCTTACCACACTCATTACATTCAAAAGGTTTTTCTCCAGTATGAATTCGCTCATGGTCAGCAAGTTGAGAGATCTGATTGAAGGCTTTCACACATTTGCTACACTTGTATGGTTTTTTCCCAGTGTGGAGACTCTGATGTCGAGTAAGACATTTACTCCGACTGAAGGCCTTACCACATTCATTACACTCATAAGGCTTCTCCCCAGTGTGGATTCTCTGATGGTCAATGAGATTTCTGTTAGAACAGAAAGCTTTCCCACACTCATCACACTTGTAAGGTTTCTTACCAGTGTGAAGTACCTGATGGCGGATAAGGCTTTTACTCCGACTAAAGAGTGCTCCACACTCATTGCATCCATATGGTTTCTCCCCAGTATGAGTTCTCTGGTGGTCAAAGAGTTTGGAACTTTCATTGAAAGCTTTTCCGCATTCATTGCATTTATATGGTTTCTCCCCAGTATGAAGTCTCTGGTGTTGAATGAGATGGGAGCTGTGGCGATAGGTCTTTCCACAATCACTGCATTCATAAGGTTTTTCCCCTGTATGGATTCTGAGGTGGACAATGAGTTGAGAGGTCTGCCTAAAGGCCTTGCCACACTCAGTACACTCATATGGTTTCTCTCCAGTGTGGATTCTCTGATGCCCAATGAGGTGTGAACTCCAATTAAAAACTTTGCCACATTCATCACATCGATATAATTTCTGTCCCTTCAGAACTCCCTGATGTTCTGAGAGACTGGAGGACAGATCTAGATGTCCCCCAAGTTCCTTATACTCATCACATCGATCCTTTGTAGATTTCTTTTTATCCTCCTGTGTTATCTCTAAGAAATCACTTTCCAGTCTGGTTCCTTCTTCATCTGAGGGTTGAACTTTTAGTTTCTCTAAAGCTTCTTCACAGGCAGCCCCAGCTTCTGGTCCTCCAAGAATAAGTCCACAAAGTATGCCTGAGGTCCTGTCAGCTGACTTCGACTCTTCAGAAATGTCCTGCTTCTGAGACAACTGTGAACTTGCCATCCTGTTTTCACCTGCTGCCAAAAGACAGAAGAAAATAACTGTCACTCACTTCTTGTCCTGTTGAGGAAATGAACTGTCAGGAGTCTATGTAGCTTAAAAAAAAAAAAATTCACATTGAGGGTAAGGAATAAGGAGACATATTGAGAACAGGAGGGAAAAAGCAGAGCTATCAGGACAAAAGGATGTGGAGCCAGCACAGCCAGGTGAGCAGGCCAGTTGAAAGGCAAGAGACCAGACTTTAAAGCACAGTGTGATCTCCCAGAAGTCACTTAGATGTGGCGTCTCCTTAGTAAAATGATGAACTCTCGGGTCCACTCCAACCATGACACTGTATGGCTCCACAGTTCACAGCAAAGATGTTGAGGAGAGTGATGCCAAATACTTTAAATATGAGAAACATGTAGGCAAACATGAGAGTTGAAGGGAAATGTGTATTACGAGGGCATGATCAAGAAAAAGTGCACAAAAAGGAGTGATTCTGGTATGAAAGAATAGTAATGATATTTGGAGAAGCCATGGGTTCAAAAAGGCTAGGAAAAAGTACTGAAGGAGAGAGTAGAGCTCTAAAATTGGTGACATCCTAGTCTCTGGAGCACTGGACTAGGAGGTGCCAGTAGGCACTCCTATGAAAATTAACAAAGGCAATAATTTGAAATACAAACCAAAGTACATGTTTTGTAGCTTGATAACCTGGAATCATAATGAGACTGAACAGCTGAGTATTTGCTTTGAATTCTGGAATTTAATAAAGAAGCTGGGAAAGGCAGAGCATCCATGGTCATAGGTAAATACAAAAATATTGGTCCCTTTCAATCACATCTTAACCAGGCCACAAGCTATCATACCATCTCAGCATATGGAAAATGAAAAGTATCTGGTCCTTTAATTCTAAGCCTACCCTCTCTGGAGTAGGCTACTGTCCTAGACCAGTTAACCCCAGAACCTCCTCTGACAACAGCCCCTTTTAGGAAGCAGCCCTGCCCGAGTCTTTCTGAAGGGGAAGCTGAGAAAACCATGTTTTGTGCAAAGCAACCCAGATCATCCCAGGATGGACGAGGACCAGGACTAGGTGACTGGACCAGGGCCAAGCACCAGACCCAAGTGCAGCTTATAGAGTAGTCATCAGCTCTGGGTGACCTGGAACAAAGTTCTGCCCAAAGAAATATGATATTTAATAGCTGAACCACCAATGGGGTCCCTTTCTGAACTGAAAGTAGGACAAAATGAAGGAAATTACAAGTAGTAGCTCAAGTTGATATGATGCATGGAGAGAAGAAATCCATCAGGAACCAGAGCAAACAGAACATATGAGGAAATAGGAGGTCTAATTAAGAAAGAGCTTGGAGGGGGACAAAAGATTCAGAGTAAAGAGAACGGCCATCAGTGGGAACAGAAAAACAGATACACAGGACACAGCTGTCTTACAACACTGCTGTAAAAATCCTTTCACTTCTGCTGCTGGGTTGGAAAGATCGCTTGGAGCAGGGAAAGGCTACCCACTCCAGTATTCTGGCCTAGAGAAATCCATGGACTGTATAGTCCATGGGGTCACAAAGAATTGGACACTGAGCGACTTTCACTGTCACTTTTCTGCTGCGGAGGCTCCCAGGTCCCCACAAAGCTTTGGGAAACAAAGCCTGGTCTAGCTGGTGAGTCTGTGCAGGGTTTCCAATCCTTCAGCCTTATTCTAAGTAACTTAGCTCATGACTTAGAGTAACTGAATGGCTCTCTATTCCTTCCAACTACAAACTCTTAACTAAACCAGCTCAGTTCAATTAATAAGGAAGTACAGAGATTGTTAATAACTATCAAAGTGAGCGATGATGTAGAGAGATTCATTATACTATTCTTTCCATTCTCTTTATATTTTCATAATTAAAATAATAAGAACATAGCAAAGAAAATGTAAAGAAGGCAGACTCTAAGTTACTAGGGAGCAGAGTCTTACCCAATGGGGCCAGGCTGCAGCAGTTTTCCAGCATGATGTTCCAGTACAGGGCTCTCTAGCTGAGTGCTGTACCTTTCCACTTCTTCAGAGTATAGTTCACAGACAGAAACTCCAATTCTGCAGCCTACTGTAATGACAAGCTTCTACTGCTCAGGGACATTTGCAGCCTGAGGAGCAGAGTCAACAGCGTACCAAGACAGGGTTGAGACCCTGGTGGCCAAAGGCGTGGGGGGACAGAAAGAAGCTGGGAGGACACATTAATAAAAGGACAAGTTCAGGGTAAGATAACAGTCCGTGAACTCAGTGGATGGGACCAAGTCCAGGGGAGGCAGTTAGGAAGAGAAGTCACAGGTGCAGACTCTGAATGGGCCAGAGCCCTGGAGATGAGGTCGTGCTATTCCTGGGCCACAGACTTGGAACCCAGGAAGCTCACCTGGGGCCTGACCATCTGGAAAATTCACTGGAAATTCAAGGATTTCAGCACAATGAAGAAAAAAAAAACCTTGAAAAAGAAAATTAAGTTGAAGAACTCACACTTCACAATTTCAAAACTTACTTGACAAAACAGCACTGATCAATACTGTGTGATACACACTTAGATCAGTGAAATAGGTAAAGAGTCCAGAAGTAAACATCTACAGTTAACTTTTTTTTTCTGGCTGCACTGCGTAGCATGTGGGATCTTAGTTCCCCAACAGGGATTGAACCTGTGTCCTCTGCATTGGAAGGACAGAGTCTTAACCACTAGACCACTAGGGAAGTCTCCTAAGGTCAACTTACTTTTTAAATATATTTTAAATTTATGTATGTATTTTATTTGGCTGCACTGGGTCTTAGTTGCAGCATGTAGGATCCAGTTCTCTGACTAGGGATCAAACCCGGGCCCCCTGTATTGGGGGCATGGAGTCCCAGACACTGAACCACCAGCAAAATCCCCGTCAACTTATTTTTTATGGAAGTCCCAAGACCACTCAAAGGGGAAAGAAGACACTTTTCAACAAATGATGCTGGAACAACTGGATATACACATACAAAAAAATGAGGTTACATCTCTACCTCAGTCCATATATGAAAATTATATGGACAGTAGGCTTTGGCACGTGTTGCAAATTGGCCCCACTGCTTTGTGTACCAAATCATACATGATAGCTAGATTCCCCTGAGAGCATGGAACCCTCCAACTCCCATCACTTTTAAGCAAATTTTTAAAAAATCACTATCCTCATCCATGATTAAAACAGAGACCATCACCTACATTTGCTACAAACAAACACCTAGTCCATGTCTCCTGGACTCAGTGCGCGCTGGGAGGACTGACAAGACATGACCGCCAACTGAAATGGGAAGAAGGCTCACACCAGAATGCTTGTCACCACCCAGATAAAAGAAACTGCAGTGCTGTTACAGGGTCATGGACAGTCAAGTGAAGAACTACTTTAGGATCGCGCATGATGAGTAAGTTGAAGTTTGGGCAGAGAAATGAAGCTTTGCTGTGAAAGAAAAAGGCAGGGCCTTTGCCAGATAAATTTGCAGAACAGACTGGGGAAGAGAAAGATGCTCAGGTGAAGAGAAATACAGGAGTAAGACTCAAGAGGATGAACTGGAGACCAGAGAGAAGTATTTTGAAGAAACGTACCCAGGAGGAAATATAAAGCACTGACACATCTTAGTGAAATAAGCGCCAAACGTAAGCTTCCAAGCTGACCTGTTGTGTAGCAGTTGCTGCATAAATGTCCAAAGAGGTCAGTGAGATATTTGTAAAGAAATGATGTGAAGGACCAGTAGAAAAATGACGGCAACTGCCTGTGAATATGGCAAAATACAGTCTTTTGAGTCCAGCCTCTGCAATCATGAACATGTATAATGACCGCTAATGACCGCTTCTGCCATGAGAGGACAAAGCAAGGCCATCTATGAACCAGGAAGCAGGTTCTCACCAGACACCTAATCTGCCAGCACCTTGACAGTGGACTTTCCAGTCTCTAGAACTATGAGAAATAAATTTCTGTTGTTCATAAGGCATCCAGTCTTTGGCATTCTGTTACAGCAGCCCAACCAGATTAAGACTTTGAGAAAGAGCTTTCTTTAAATTTCTATTTATCAAAGTCCCAGAGTTAGGCCTGGCCTGGCTAACACATCTCTTTATGAACCAATCACTGTGACGAGGTGATAAAATGCTCTGATGGGTCACATCTGAGTCACTATCTGCCACTGGAATATCCTGGAAGGGGAATTGAATGCATCAAAACCTCAGGAGCACATGGACTGAGAGTGGGGACAGTAGTTCTCCCCAAGTTGAGATGATATAATCAACAGAAAGGGGCCTGTGTGCCAGACAGACAGAAAGAAAACAGACATTGCTACCAAACCAACTTGGGTCCACTTGCTCTGATGCAGTAAAGCCAACGTATTGACACTGGGTTGTGATGAAGGAAAGAGCAGCATTAAAAAAAAAAAGCTAATGACCTCCTGGGCCTTTCAAAGTCTGAATGAAAGCCACACAGCACAGTATACAAAGATGGAGGCCAGTGAGCTGAAACTGCCCAATTAAATTCAGGTATCCTAATGCCTCTGGGTTCCTCCCAGGTCCCAACCAGCTTTTGAGGACAGAAGAAAACATCAACTTTTTAAGGTGACACCATAAATGTGAGCCCCCAGGCTGGGGAGCAACCTGAGATAGATCAAGCCTCTTCTCCCCAGCTTCATCCCTTCACTCAGTTTCATTCCCAAATGAAAATGGCCTGGAAAAGAACCAAGGAAATCCCCAGGCAGTTTTCAGGAATATTTTCTTCCTTCTGTCATTTGCTTTAATACAAAGTAATTCTGACTTCCTTCTAAAAGCCTCTTAAATAAGTAGTCTCTTATTCTTGTGTTTTTCCTGGTAGTGAGAGGGTGTGTGCTGTGTTTAGTCGCTCAGTCGTGTCCAACTCTTTGCGATCCCATGGACTGCAGCCTGCCAGATTCTTCTGTCCCTGGGCATTCTCCAGGCAAGAACACTGGAGTGGGTTGCCATTCCCTTCTCCAGGGACTCTTCCCAACCCAAGGATCAAACTCAGGTCTCCTGCATTGTAGGCAGATTCTTTACCAACTGAGCCACCAGGGAAGCCCCCAGTGACAGGGTACATAAGGTTTATTTTATACAGTGATAATATGCAAACCAGTTTCTAAGATAATTAGAAACTAAAGCAAGACTGCTTCGGCTGCTGCTGCTGCTAAGTCACGTCAGTTGTGTCCAACTCTGTGTGACCTGAAAGACGGCAGCCCAAGAGGCTCCTCTGTCCCTGGGATTCTCCAGGCAAGAATACTGGAGTGGGTTGCCATTTCCTTCTCCAATGCATGAAAGTAAAAAGTGAAAGTGAAGTCACTCAGTCATGTCCGACTCTTTGCGACCCCATGGACTGCAGCCCACCAGGCTCCTCCGTCCATGGGATTCTCCAGGCAAGAGTACTGGAGTGGGTTGCCGTTGCCTACTCCGAAGACTGCTTCTAGTACACATTTAAATGTTATAATTTTATTTATACCAATTTAGAAATGAACTCAATCTAGTGCCCAAAATTTGATTTCTCAATACCACTTCTACAAAAAACAAAACCAAGAATCCTTGCAGAAACGATTGATTCCAGGACTGGGGAGGTGAAAACATAAGACGAGTAACTTGTGGTGCCTGAAAATCAGAGAAAGACACAAAAAAGGATGGGAATATGTAAGAGGAAAAAGGAGCCGACCTGAAAGACGCCCAACAGCTAAAGCTAGAATAATTTATGCCACAAAATAAATAACAACACACCTCAATATACTCCCCAAATAAACACCCAACATCACACACTGATATAACTGATATAATTAAGTAAATAAACAAGTTGGAGAGAAGGCACAACACTTCCTCACAAAGGATTCCAGTTAATAAATGTAGAAGAAAAACACAAAAAATGAAAAGCTCCTAGGAGAACATCACAATAACAACTGCTGTAGGCAAGATCCACCAAGAAATGCTAATTAGTAGGAAAAGCATATTTCTATGTAAAGTCTCAAAGGGTCTACCTCAAAATAATTGCTAATTACAAAGGAAAGACAGTAACTTTACAATCATCAATCCTTGGCAGAAATACTGGATCAAGAGTAATATCACCACTAAGAAGACATGTGGATGTCAACCTCAATCTAAGCAGGAGAACATCTGACAAAACCAAATCAAGGGTCTGTCTAAAATTACAAATATAAAATACTTCAAAAGTATCAAGATTGTGAAAAACAAGTAAAACTGAGGTGTTGTCACAGACTGAAAGGGAGACATGATAATTAAATGGAATGAGGGATTCTAGATTGGATTCTGAAACAGGAAAAGAACATTAACTAGCCAGTTAGGAGCTCTAGTAAATCAGTAGTTTAATTACTAGGTCTGGACCACTGAAAATGTCTCAAGTTTGATGACTGTTCTATGGTTATGCATGACACTGCCTTTAGGTATACCAGGAAAAGATACAAGGGAACTCTACAAAATTCTGAAAGTCTCTGTGAGTCTACAATTATTCAAAATAAAAAAGTTTTCAAACTGAAGTTTGAGTTGTTACTGTGTTTATTTCTGTCTAGAAATAGTAATGTCTATATACTAAGGATTAACTTGGCAATAAGGGTATTGAATAGGGCTACCCAGGTGGCCCAGGGATAAAGAATCCAGAATGCAGTAGATGTGGGTGATTCCTGGGCTGGGGAAGATCCCCTGGAGGAGGAAATGGCAACCTTACTCCAGTATTCTTGCCTGGAAAATTCCACTGACAGAGGAGCCTGGCAGGCTAGAGTAGGACATGACTGAGCATGTGGCCACACACACACACACACATCACACAAACATTTACTGAGCACCTACTACCTTCTTAGACACCATGGTCTCTGCAGTGAATAAAGCAGACAAAATGCACTAACTTAAGTAGCTTATAAGAAGACAGACAATAAGATAAAGACAGTGGCAGGTGCTATGTAGCAAAATAAAACAAGGAAGGAGGCTAAGAGGCTTAAAATCAAGCAAGGAAAAGT